CGCTGTCGGAGGGAGGGAGGGAGGGAGCGGGGGTGGGGCGCACAGATGATTCCAACAGGAGACTGGAAGAGATTTTGAAAGGTCATCTCGTCCTTCCCCCAGCCTCCAAGCAGGACTGCCCCTCCCACCCTAAACCCGGACATACCAGGGAAGGAGCTGGCTCTGCCGCTCTTTCTGCCCCAACATGCACAGACTCGGGAAGTTCTTCCTGGGGTTTTATCTCAAAGCCTCTCCCGAACAATTTTCTGTCTCTTTTGGGGGAGGAGGAGGGGCGATTATAGAGATAGTTAATGTCTGCCGTATAAGAAACATTATTAAAGTTACTCTTCGGTCCTTCCTGTTCTTGATAAACAATTCCTGCTCCTTCCTCTCGAATTCTATTTTCCATTCCTTAAGTCACTTTAATGGCTCTTCAATACAACAAATATTTACTGAGTGCTTACTAAGTACCAGGCGCTCTGCTCAGCGCCGGGAGGGATGAACCCAGGAGGAGAATGTAGTGCCCTCCCTGGAGGAGACTGTAATCTAGACAGGGGCTACAAATTTGTAAGTAGTGTACTTAGATTTAATCAATATTTACCGAATGCCTGTTTACACATTTAATAGTATGTAATCCTTAAAATAACACTGAAATATAATTAGTCTGCATTTACAGGTAAGGAAAATGAGGCCAAAGAGTCTCTTTCCACTGGCCTACCATTCCAGGGATCCTCAGTGCAAGTCCAGCATCTCACAATCAGGCCATTGCCACCAAAATTAATGCACATAGGGATCGAGGACGGAGTAGACAGACAACAGTTCTCAGGATTCCTTTAAATGTGATCCCCACTCCCCAGGAAAGAGTGGGCACAATGCTTCAATGAGTGTTGGCCCAGCACTGAGCAGGGCAGAAGTGGCTTACAAAGAAGGCCACTTTATCTCCCAGGACCTTGCCTCCTAGTACTAAGTCCTGGGGGTCTTCTGGTTCAGTCTTCTTCTGTCATCAAATAATAATGACAATGATAATAGCCACGAACATTTATTGAGCATGTATTGGCCATGTGCTGGGCTGAACTGGTTCATATGCATTTTCTCTCTTAATACTTACAGCAACCCGTTGAGGTCGGTATTAACTTCCCTTTAATGATAAGGAAACAGATAGATTAAATAACTTGCCCAAGGTCACCCAGGTAGATCTGGGATTTGAACATAGGTCTGGTTGCCTCCAGACCTCAGGCTCTGCACCAAGATGGGCCGTTCCTATTTTTGATCTACAAAGTATATCTTTGGGCCCAGGTGGTTCTGCTTCTTATTGTGGTAATAAATGACCCCAGTTTCGCTTCTGAATAAGCCTTTTAGTATACAGGCATCAGGCACATCGGTATGACCTCATAGCACCATTAATTGTTATTATGCACCCTCCTTGAGTCAACAACCCTTCAAGTCATTTCATTAGTCCCCTTTTATCACTCAGTTTGAACAAACTGAGGTTCCAATTGGTAGAATAATATCCAAGGTCACACAGCTTGGAAAGTGGCAGAGCTGAGAGTCTAGTCCAGGTCAGCCTGGCTACAAGGCAACTTCTGTCTCTCAAAAATATTGTTGGAACAGTGTCCTCCCCAAGACTGACCATTTAAGGACCATCTTCTACACATGGCTAGCTGCAGGTTATCACTGAGTCAAAAACAATCCCCACTATAAATAGAGCTCTCCATCCACTTAGTCAGTGTCCGATCCAGAGTAAATCCTTCAAGAAAAGAATGAGAGAAGAGAAACTGTCCAGAAAGTGACAGACAGGAAGTCAGATCTTGGCTGGTCTTGGGACAAAGCTTCAAGTGGTAATGACAGGGGACCAATGCAGACAGTAATGTGGGATTTTCGAAAGGAACAGCAAGTAATTTGAGGAAGCCCCCACAAAGGAGAAAGATTAGATGGAAATAGCAGGGGAATGGGGCCCAGGGTGGTAGTGTCCATCAGATGAGGTGAGTGATCAGAAGAGGAACCTGGCATGGACAGAGATGGGGGCAATAGGAATTGGGAACAGAATGAGATAGGGCTGGGTGTCTTGTGGAGTGAACTGAGGCTGGTGTCTACCCACCGCCACTCCCTAGATCCTTAGGCCCTCATAGGGACCTTTGCCCCACCACACCCCAGTTCTGATAGCTTGTCTCTGCCAGGACAAGTCTGCCGTCTGCTCTGAGCTACCAGGCCCAACCAGGAGCTCAGGCCCAGCTGGGACCCATCCCTTTGGAGCAGCCGCTTCAGACTAGGTAGGTGTGAGGCCCTGAGCCTCAACTCCCTGGATTTTGGGAGTGGGCAGAGGGGCAGCTGAAAGAGATGTAGCAGCATGTCCTGTCTCCTGATAGGTGCCATAATGCGTTTTTCCTAGGCTAGGAAGCACCGAGTCCTAGTGGTCAAGGGAGCCATGGAGGAGAGAGCTGGTCAGCAAGAGCAAGAAAGACCCAGCCTTCGTCTGGAAAGGCTACAGCACTGGGCGAGGCATAGGCAGAGTGGGCACCTCTTGGTGCTGGCGGTGAGGCCAGGCTGCCCCACCCCAAGCTTCAGCATCTTCACTTGTACCCCAATTCAATCCACCCATGTTTAGTAAGCACCTAGCCTGCGGCTGAAATTGTGCTAGGCTCTGAGTGGGAGGAGGGTGGAGGAAGCATAGAATAAACAGGGCAAGACCCTTAATCTCCAAGTAGCTTCCATCATGTGGGGTAAACATGTAGGTAAGTAACTAAACTACAACATAAGCAGACAAAATTTAAATGATATCTCCTTCTTTCATTGCCCTTGGTTGACTACTTTTGGCCACTACACATCCCTCCCAATCGCTGATCTCTGGGAGAGGCAGGGGTTGGGAGGAAGGAAGGGAATTCCTGACAGTTCTCCTTCAACTGCCGTGCATCCGGCCTCCAGGTGAGCCAGCTATGGCTGGCAGTGGCTGTGGTGCCCTTTGCTATCTCAGTTGCCTGCCTGAACTCTGCATGTCATGTGGCCACAGCACTGCCACTTGGACCTGGACTATTTGTAAGAACCACCATATGGGAGGGTGGATGGAAGGTCCTGGGGGCCCCTCCCTAATGGGCCCAGAGCTCACCGATTGCCTTTCTCACCATTCAGGGTCTCCTCACTGGGATTGTTACCCTTGAGCTGCGCAGAGCACCCCGCCTCTGGAAGGTGAGAGGGGAAGAGGATGCAGTTCTATTCTCCCACCCCCACAAACACACACACACATACACATACATACACACACATACACACAGCACACACGCACACAGGCATGCTCTCCTCTGCCCAGGAAGTGGCTAACTGTTGAGTAATTGTGTCAGCTCTCTGCCTCTAATTGGCCTAAAAGACTGAGGAGGGAAAACAAGAAGTTTAGAGGGCTGATGGCCCTGTTTGGAGGTGGAGGAACAGGAGCTGAGTTTTGTTTTCAGCTAACCTGCAGGTGGGGCTTGGGGTTGTAGTGAGTCCCCTGGGCTGGGCAGGGCTGAACCGGCTCACTGGCAGGTGCAGGCCATGATGATATTCAACACCTTCAATCTGATCTTGGGCTTCATTGCACTGATGGTCGAGGTGCTGAAGACAGCCTTGATGTCTTCCCCAGCTGTCCCCTCCCAGGTAGGAGTGAATAAAGAAGGTGGGAGGAGGAGGAGGCAAGAGGAGGGGAAAAGGTAGGGGCAAATAGGTGCAGGGTCCCCTGCAGCATCCTCAGCCCTGTCTACCTACAGCTAGCCGGCTTGCTGGTGATGGAGCTCAGCGCTGAGGCGTTCACCCTAGGTGGAGTGCTGGTCTCAGCATACTCCCTGTTCCTGTTGAGCCAGAGGAAGCCAGGATGCTGCAGGAGCCAGAGTCTGCACTACCAGGAGCTGCAGGAGGTATTGAGGGCAGGAAGGAAAGTATGAAGGAGCTAATTAGCAGCTCATTTTTTTCATTGGCTATCCTGATCTGTGGTACTTAAGGGAAATCAACGAGGGTGGGAAGGAAGTGGTCCTAGGCTGAAACTGGTTTTCTGGATTTGGACATTTCTCCCCTAGTAGTGTGTAAGAGGGAGTTAGGTATCTAAATGGTTGGGAATAGAAATTTGGGAGAGCATTAGGAATATGCCTAAATATTGGAAGGGCTATGGGAACATGAGAAAAAAAAAAAAAAACAGAAGTAAGCTGCATCTGTCTAGGATTCCTGCTTTCTCACCCCTACAGTTTGCTCCCCTCACACCTGTCTGGTTTTCAGGGTCTCTCGGAGTTGGAAGAAGTTCCTGATTTAGAGAATGGTCCCACGGCAGCTAGCACAGCAGACAGAACAAATGAGTGAGCTGGCAAGGAGAAGCAGACAGGTGCTGCTCTCCTACCCGACGGGCGCCTTCTCCAGACCCTCCTGCACCCCATCCCACCGAACTTAAAACTAGATGGAGTCCCTTGAGACCTACATGAAGTCTGGTGAAGTGCCTTCCGTTTCCACTCAGAGTAGGCCCCTGTCTCTTCTCTTTCCTGCTGGGGAAAACAATGCCTAGACCTAGTCTTCCATCACCTCACTGCCCCGAAAATCTGCCCGCCTGGAGGACACCTTAAACCAGCATTCACCTAGACCCATTTCCTCCCTTCCAGCCTTCCTCTCCTTCCCGACTGCCTCCCCATACAGCTTCACATCCGCCTCATCTCACTATTTCCACAATTTCCACCTTTCACAATCCCATCCACTCCAAGCCCGGGTTCCCGTACACGCCCACCCTCTGAAATCAATTCACAGGTGCCTTGGTTCTCTCCTTTCGATCCGGTTCCTTTCTACTCTAACGGAGACTACAAGTCCCAGGATGCCCCGCTGTCCCCCGTGGCCTGCTGGGAAATAAAGAGCCTTCCCTCCGCGGTGGGGGCGCTATTCATCGGCTGAGTGACGCGAGGCACTGGAAGTCGGGGCCTAGCCGAGAGTTTCCTCGGACGCGACCACTGGCCCCGCGAGCAGGGAGGAGCTGGGCGGGCTATTCTACGCGGGGGCGCCACCACCCCAACCTCGGTAACTGGGTGCTGACTGTGGGTCCACATTCCTCCTCTGGCAGCTTCGGAGACGGGCAGGGGCTGAGGGCTGGCCCTCGGCAGAGGTGGGGTTTCCCAGATGCTGTCGCCGTACCCCCTCCCACAGTGCCCCGGTCCAAAGTCCTGAGACTTGGAGCGCGCGCGAGAAAGGGGTTGGAGATGATGAGTCAGAAGCCCAGGGCCCTTCTCATCCCCCTCCCCTGGGGCCTGGGCGCCCGAGGAGGCCGGGCTGGTCAGGCTGATGGGTGGATGGGGCAGGAAGAGGGAGGGACGTGGCGACCCGACCTAAGGCTTTCCCGCCTCTTGGGAGCACGCCGGTGTAACGAGCCCGCGTTGCCGCCACCCTTTCTCTCCAAGGCGGGAGCGGGACTGCGCAGGCTCAGCCTTTTGGCAGCCCCACCGACCTTTGATCCCAGCTGCGGTAGGGTTGCTGAAGCTGTGGTTGCGCTCAACCCCCACCGTTTGTGACCTTTGCAAGTGTGCAAAGATGACAAGATGGGGTGGGCTTGAGAAAAGCCCAGGAAAACTGGGACACCCAACAGCACCAGCCGGACAGCTTACTAGCCGCTAAAGGAACTACAAATTGACCAGAGCTGGAGTACTAATAGAACTCACCCCAAATTCACATAGTGCCCAGGATGGGTGTGCGCCTCACACTCATTTTTGTTCCCACTTGAGAAGGCTTCTTTCCCTAGAGAATGCTGCTTCTCCGGGCTTAGCCAAGCCCAGGCACCAGTGAGGAAAGAGCGCAGCCTGGCTGCCTTGCCCTGACATTGCAGTGGCGCCAGTGGCGGCTCTTTTCTGTTTGTGACACCTTGGGAGTGGTAATAGCCGCCCTATGACAAGATTGTGTGAGTATTAGTGGGTGGGGACAGTGCTGGGATTAGGCTCTGGAATGGAGAAAACAAGATCTGGGCCTCCCCTTCTCCTCCTCCCAGTCTTAAGTGCCAGAATAATGGAGAGCTCTTGAGTGAAGGTCTCAAAATAATTTTCTTCAGAATCAGAAGCTGGTAGTAAATAAGGAAGCTGAGGGTAAAAATCAACAGTTCATTTCCACTGTCTTCCAGATAGGAGCAACAGCTTTTAGTGATATAATCAGAAGTCTGGAAATTGCATTTTAGTTCTTGGAGATGTTCAGTCACCTTGCAAATGAACCTTGTATCAAGGTTAGGCTAGGTTATGTTGTGGTAACTGCCAAAATCTCAACGGCTTACAACCACAAAGGTTTCTCTCTCACACTACATGTCTAGAGTAGTCTGGCTGGATGCTCTGCACATTTTAAGTTATTCAGGTACCCGAGCCCATGGAGTGCCACCATTTTGAGATCCTGCCATGTCACCACGAGACTAGCCATCACCACCTGCCCCCATTGTGAAGTAAGCATGAAGAATTGTTCATGGGTTCTTAAATGCTTCTGCCTCAGAGGGACTCATATCACTTCCACTCACACTTAATTGGCCAAAGCAAATCATATAGCCACACCCAACTTCTAGATGGTTAGAAGGGCAATCTTTTCATATGCCTAGAAGGGGAAGGGAAGCAGAAATCCTTCATTTAAATAAAAAAAAAGGACATAATAATTTGAAGTGATTCCTGAACAGTTTAGCAGTTAGAATTCATCTGTTCCTGCAGTTATGTCCATATTTACTTCTTTGGGTTTGTTCCATGAAGAAATGAAGTTCTTAATAGAAACCTTTCCCCCCAAAATAACAAGACTGGGAGTCAGGAAGTCGAGACTCTGGTTTTGTAGTGTAAATTTGGGCAAGTCAGACTCCTCTGACCTACATTTTGTTTAAATGGGGATTATAATCATAGTATTTACTCTCTCTACCTTACTGGAGTACCAAGGCTCAAATAAAATCACACATGAAAAAATACTTTAAAACTATAAAGCACTTTGGAGGTCGAAAATTGCCTGTAGGGATGAGTAGTAATGTAAATGAATGAAGCAGATTAGGTATGAGTTAATAGAGAGTGGTGGGAACTATGGCAAACTAGAGAGCACACATTATTTAGAGACTTTAACCTCACTCAACTCTACACAGTAATTGCCATTTGGGACCGTGGGCTTAGTACTGCCATTGTTCCAATTTGCCTATAAAAGTCAGAAATCCTGACTTGTTAAGTGTGAAATCTTCTGATTTAAAAATGCTGATAACTAATTTTCTTTAAATTGAGGACCACATTCAGCCTATGGTCCTTCAATTATTGTGTCTCCTTTATACAAACATATAGTAGAAATTCAGGTTTTGGATGTGCAATGTGGTTCTTGTATGCCCTCGAGGCCTCTTCTAAAATTCAAGAGCTTTGGAGAGATTTAACATCAGGTTCTTAAAACCCTTTTTTATCATATCCCTCTCATAGTGGTTCTCAGGGAGGCAGGGGTATTTGGCAATTTTTGGTAGTGACAACTGCAGAAGGGTGGGGTAGAATATGTAACCTAAGGAGCATTAGATGGTAAGTCAGGAGATCAGAGATTTAGAGCCAGTGCTACTAATGCCCCTTTCCCATACATTATCCTCTGTCAGCTGCAGTGAAGACTGTGGGAGGTTTGTCCTGTGATCCTCATTATCCCGTCTCCACACTGCCTATTGCCAGAGTCCCTGGCTGCTCCATGAAAGCATTCTGCTTTGCTGCAATGCTTCCCGGCAACCATTGTGTCTGCCCTTCATCAGTTTGGCAGCCTCTGTGGAAGTCACTCATATTTTACTTGAATTGCTGCCCACTGGAACTTCACAGAAAGAAGTGACTGTGACAAGGTTCCTGCTGACGTCAGTTTATAAAAGGCCTTGACCCCTTATCCCTTGCATTGTCTCCCTTGGAGAAATATGTAGCTTCATAGGCAGATGAATTCTGTGATGGTTGGGAATTCTCCATGTTCATGAATTTTACCCTGATTTCTTTGAAATTCAGTCGTTTATTCTGGCCTCGAATGCATGATTATAGACAATTGACGGTATTTCCCAAGCAGATAGTTCAGGTTTTGTGTCCTGGGCGATGTTCTCTGCTGCCATCTCGTGGCCTCTCTGCTGCCCGGGTCGAGGTCTCACAAAGAGCTTTTCGGCAAGGTAATGGCGTGTGTCAGGGCTTTAGTCGGAGACAGAGGCCGTGCACCCTGTGGGGCGTGCCCCAAATCCCTCCCCTGCCATGAATCCACGCGGGCTGCGGCACACGCCGCCTGGCTCCCAACCTGGACATCCCTAGCAGGTGAGGGGTACAGGGCCCTTCAGGGTCATCCTCGGCTCCTGGGGCCTCTACGTGTTATGCAATGCTGGACTGGAGCCACCAAAATCAGTAAACTCAACTTCCCAGGAGTAATCGGAGCTGACCTTGCCTGCTTGGCCTGATGATTGCTCCGCAGCCTCTCACCCGCCACTCGCCACCCAGGGCAGGGATGTTCTTCATCTCAGTGAGCAGAGATGATTACCCCGGCAGGTTTCTGGATTTTGTTTTCCTGTCTAGGCCCATTTTGTGTTGCTGGGTCCTCACCCTTCATTGTTGACTTGCCCAGCCAGTGCTGCCTCAAGTCCAGTATTTGATTGATGGGTTGAGCAGGACAATGGCAGTGTGTCACTTGAGGCAGTGTTTCCTGTGACTGTGGCAGGATCTGAGCACTGTAGTGATAGAGGTCCATCTCCAGGGCACAGGGAATCTGGGCTACCAGTGACTGAGCAGTGAGCGACTGGTGCAGGAGGGAAGGCAGGAAAACTTGTGTAGTTCGTGCCCTCTCTTTCTCTCTCCCCCCCCTTTATAAAATTTTTATTATAATGTGTTAAAACCTTCCATTTGCTAAAGTAAATGTGTAGAACTGTCCCTCAGTTGTTAGCCCCTGCTGTATGCTTTTCACATGTTCCATCCTTTGTGGGGAGCCCTGACTCTGTGTGCTCCCATTACCCCTAACCCCAGAAGTGGGGGAGGAAGAGGAAGGAAGAGAGGAGGAGGAGAAAAAGGGAGGGGTGGGGGAGGAGGAACTGCTGCCTTTAGTGTTTGTTTTAACCTGCTTTCCCCTCTATGAAAATTCCAGGGGAGGGGTTCTCCTTATATAATTTCCCAGGCTGCTAAGCTGGTGTGTGTAGCTGCTCTTTAAAATTCAGAAGCCATTTACTTAATGGGAGTTGTCTTCTGTTTCTTTTGTTTTTCCTTCTTTGCCTACATTTTTTCAGTCTTATTTCATTTATGTTTTATGGTGCATGTTATTCTTGATTCCACTTATCACTGGAATCTTTGGTTTATTTTTCTTATCAGAAACTTTCTCTCTGTTTTCTCCAAAGTAAATGAGTTGTCATTGTTGATTCTTATCTAGTCATCCTTGCCTTTGTAAAGTTTTCTTGTTTAAAATATTTTTCCCAAGTCCAGGCTCGCCAGATATGATTTAATTTGTTTTGCATTTTTCTAATTATGTACTCCCTGTGTGTATAAAGAAAATGCTCTCCCCCGACTCTTATGCTTTAGGTAAAGCGAGAGAACTTAAAGTCATGACATAGGAGAAATAGGATTGATGTCTTTGTAAATCTCAAAGATAATAATGAGGAAGGGAAACTGGTTTTTATGAATCTAAAAAATGAAGCTGGGTCCAATGGTTACTTATAGAGAAGCTGATTTTAGAACCAAAAAAAAGAGAGAGAGAAACTGAACATTTTTCTAAGATGAGCTGCTTTAAAGTTAGGCTCTCAACCTCTGGGTATGTTTGAGGGGTTTTGTGCAGTGCACTTCTGCACAGATAGGTGGTTGAAGCAAGTATTCAAATATCAGTTGAATGGTTAGAACAGATGATCTTTAATTTCTTCTCTAACACTAAGATTTGGTTTCTCAGCAGTGGTAATGTTTTTTAATGGACCTATCCATACTTTTAAATCTGAATGACTGGCCCTGGGCAAAATTGTGAAGTAAGGTATAAAGTATTCCGTCTTGTCCCTAGAACAGAGTATCACCTGTGACACTACTGACGTTTGGACCCAGAAAACTCTTTGTGGGGGGCTGCCCCTTGCATTACAGGATGTTTAGCAGCATCCCTGGCCTCTAACCACCAGATACCAGTAGCACTTCTCCCCTTGGTTGTGACAACCAAAAATGTCTCCAGACATTGCAATATGTTCCCTGGGGAGCAAAATAGCCCCCTCCTTGAAAACCAATGTCCAGAGGGATATGATAAGAAATTAGAAATATTAAAAAGAATATTAAAAAATATTTTCATATTTAAAAAGAACCCACAGAGACCTATAGTGCACATCCAAAACCTGTAATCCTCTCCTTGTGCCCCTTATTCCCCCTTCTGAATTTTCTATCTTAACCGGTGTTACTGCTTCATCACACAAACTCCTCTCCATCATTTCATATAGCCAAATGCTCACCACACGCTATAGAATCAGTCCTCCTCTCATCACCACCACTCCTGCCCTAGTTCAGGCCCTCACCACTTCTCACCTCAACCCCAGCAAAAGCTTCCTAAATAGTTTGTATGCCTCCAGGATTATTCTTCTGAGATACATCTCCCACATAGACACATAAATGTGACCGCATAGCTTCCCTGCTTAAAAGCCTTTCAGTCGTCTCCATCCTGTAAAGTCAGGTCCAAGATTTTTAAAAATGGTGCAGTGACCTCTGTGATCTGGCCCCTGCCTTTCCAATGTCATCTCCCACATCCCTTCCCTTGCACTTCACTCTTCAGTGACAGCAATCTGAGGAAGGTGGCATTGGCGTGCAGCCTTAAACATTTTTAAATTATTAATTATACATATTAGTATGATAAACACTTCCACCTCTTTTTTTTCCCCTTTTTGATTAGCCCAAGGATGATGATGATGACAGCAATGACTCAGTGATGGGTGGGCGGGGGTCAGGGCTGTTTGTTGCACACATTAGTGAGAAGTCAGAACAATTAAAACAGCAGTGAGAAGTCAAAGCCATATCATGTCAAAATAGCTAAGTCAAAACATCTCACTTTGACACATATATTTCTTACTTCCATACCTTATTCAAGCTGTTGTATCTAGTATTGCTAACTGCTACCTATTCTTTAAGACTCAGCTTAGTCTTCACCTACTTTGGGAAGCTTCCCTGACCTCTCCCATCACTACCAAGACTGTACTCTTACAGTGCCCTACACACAGATCTATTCTTATTGTGAAGCAGATTAGAATGCACCACCTCAAAATGTGCCATTTGGCATGGAGATTATTTTGAGCTGAAGGCAAATAAGAAGCAGCAAACTCAGAAAGAGCTCTCTGCCCTCCCCCTATCTGCCTAAAAGAAGGATATAAATTTCCCTTTGTGAAAGTCTTTCCCTTCCCCTCTCTCAAAGCAGGAGGAGGAAAAATAACCATTACACTGCAGACAGAGTCAGCACCATGATGGGGCTACACAAATAAACCTCACTAAAATCATCCTTATCTTCCATCACATTCCGCCATATATTTATTTTCCTGCAATCTACCACCCCAAGAAGCTCAAAACCCCTTTCTTTTGTCACTTCTGCACAATTTCTCACCCTTTAAAAAGTGGTATGTAATCCCCTATGTCTAATCACCTCTTTGGGTCTTCATTTCTTTTCTATGAGGGTCCTTTGTGCACATAAAAATTAAAATATTAACATCAAATAAAATGTGTATGCCTTTTCTTCTGTTAACTTGGCTTTTGTCAGTTTAATTTGCAAGCTCCAGCTACTAAACCTAAGAGGTTAGAGAAAAGAACCCCCACCCTACTGTTGAAAGGATCATTTATGTGCCCACCTTTGAAGCAACAACTGTGTTTTATTCAACCCCAGAACCTAGCCAAGTGAATAGCATATAAGAGTCATTCAATACATGTTTACTGAATGAATGAATAAATAGACTAAGTCAGAAGGAACTTTAGAAAGCATTCTACTCAACATAGAAACTCCTGTGCAACATTCTGACAGTCATTCAGTCTCTGCTAAAATGTTAACAGTTATGGTGCCACTGGAGAAAATCATTCAAATATGGCAGCTGGTGCCACAGCAAATTCATGGTTTCAAACTGCAACTAGATCCTAAAGGCAACCCCACGATACTGCTGTTGGCAGTTCTCCATTTCCCCAACTGCTACTTCATTTTTTTTTTTTACTTTGTTTTCAGTAGTTATTCTAAAGTGCATCTGGAAGAATAAACAAATGATAATGAAAGAGAAAGAGAAAAGAAAGGAAGAAGAAAGGGCTTCTAACCTGAAGAGTAAAAAGGTGAGACTTTGTCTATCAGCTATTAATGTATGTTATAAAGACAAAAAAATTGAAACAGTGTGGTATTGACATCAGAATAGACAGAGCTATGGAACAGAATAGAGTAAAAAAAAAGAGCTCAAATATATACAAAGGTATAATATATTTTAGTGGCACTGTTTCTTATCAGTCAATCATAAACTGATTTTTTTCGAAAAATGATGTTGGAACAACTGCATAATGACTTGCAAATTAAGCTACATTTCTATCATACACCATACACCAAAATAAATTCTAGACTTAAATTTTAAAAATTAAAGGCTTAAAAGGAAGAAAATCAAGACCATCAAAATATGTGAAGAAATATAGGTAAATATTTATATAACCTGGGGCAGATGAGATCTTTCTAACACTAATAGCAGAGACTAAAAACAAAAAGATTGACTTTATATGAAAAATTTTAAACTTTCTATCCAAAAAAATCATAATAAATAAAGGTAAAAGTTAAGAATGACAGAGGGTAACATATAGCTAAAAAATTCTTAGTATTACTCTTGAATCTTACAGAAAAATTTATAAAGACAAAATAGCCAATTTACCAAAAATAAATTTAAATGGCTAATAAAACCTATGAAAGATATTTACTTTCATAGTAGTAAATAAATGGAGTTTAAAACAAGATGACATTTTGTGCCACTCACATTACCGTCTTTAAATGCATAAGACTCATTGTTTATGAGTATGCAAGGAAATAGGCACTTTTTTATACCTCTGACAGGACTGTAAATTGATACAACTGTAATGAGGAAAGCAATTTAACATCTTGAATCTACAGGTTAAAAATTTCCTACCCTTGGCCCAGCAATTCTGCTTCTAGGAATTTTTTGCAGGAATACTTTTGGACATGTGTAGTTACTTATTGTAACATTCATTACAGAATTAGTTTGAAAAGTGCAAGTAGTTCTGAATATCTAACAGTAAGGTAATTGATTTTTAAAGTATAATCAACTTAGAGAGTGAAATATTGTAGTACATTATACTGGCATAAAAAAGAATAAAAGCTGTCCATGGTATAGTCTTAAGTAAAAAAAGCAAGCAAGCAAGCAAGCACATTGTATCCTATTAAAAAAGATGGCAAAAGACTTGAACAGACATTTCTTAAAAACAAAACCATTGCAAATGGTCAGTAAGCACATGAAAATGATGTTGCGGGGCATTAGTCATTAGGGAAATACAGTTCAAAACCACAATGAGGTACCACTTTACCGATTTACACCTACTAGGATAGCTGTAAAAACAACAGCAACCAATGGAAAAGAACAAGTGTTGGCAAGGATGTGGGGAAACTGGAATTCTCGTGTGTTGCTGGTAGGAATGTGAATGCTGCTGTGGAAAATAACTTGGTGGTCCCTCAATAGGTTAAACATAGAATTACCAGATAAGCCAGCAATTCCACTCCTAGGTGTATACTAAACAGGTGTTCAAACAAAAAGTTACACGTAAATGTTCATAGCAGCACTATTCACAATAGCCAAAAGGTAGAAACAACTCAAATATCCATTAACTGATACCTGGATAAACAAAATGTGGTGTATATCTATATGATGGAACATTTCTTATTCCACTATGCTACAACATAGATGAACCCAGAAAATACTATGCTAAGTGAAAGAAGTCAGACACAAAAGGCCATATATTGTTTGATATATCTGAAATGTCCAGAATAGGCAAATCCATAGAGACAGAAAGCATAGTAGTGGTTGCCAGGGGCTGGGAGAAGGAGAGAATGAGGCATGACTGCTTAAGGGCTACAGGGTTTCCCTTTGCGATGCTGAAAATGTTCTGCAACTAGATAGTGGTGATGATTGTACATAATGAATGTACTAAATGCCACTGAATTTTACACTTTAAAATAGTTAAAATGGTGTATTTTATCATAGTAAAAAAAAAAAGCACATTACAAAACAGTAAATTGGTTCTGTTTTTCTAGAAGTGTATCAAAGAAAAAAAGTATAAAAGGATAAATGTCAAATTGCTCCAGTTGTCCATGGTGGTCATTTAGGACTAGTGTTCTAGTTTTTCTACAATAATCTTGAATTACTTGAGTCCTTTTAAAAACATGCTGTAGAATAATATTTCATGAAATAGAGGCATGTTCATAATATATTCACATATTTATTAAACCAAACTGGTATACTTGAATTATCTCAATTTTATTGTAAAAATGCACATATTGCATAGGACAAAAACCTACTGGAAGTATATATGCCAACATTTTAATGGCCATATTTCAGTGGGATGATTATAGGTGAATTTTATTTATTTTAAAAAATACATTTTCAAAATTCCTTCAGTGAACATATATATATGTGTGTGTATATATTATATATGTAATATATATATTATATATATATAACCTCCATAATCTAGATTTTAAATATTTTAAAGTTTTCTTGGGGGAGACATGAAATCACAGTAGCATGAGAAGCTCCCTTTGTCTCTCCCCTTCAATCTACAACTAGTTAAGCATCCATAACTCGAGAAAAATTCTCTGTCCAACACACCAGGTTGCCAGAGAGATCCACACATCTGTACATGTGAAGGTGTGTGGGTTGGAACACATAGAGGAGGTGGAAGGTGGGGGGACAGCAGAGGCAGTGACCATGATCACAGCCCCCTGATCACAGCAGCTGTCCCCACAGCCTCAAGAGAACCCAGTAGCAGAAGGGGCAGCAGACACAACTCCAGCCTCCCAGCCAGCTGCAACAACACCTGTGGCCACAGGAAACTGGGCAGCAGTGCTGGGGGGGCCAAGACTTTGGTTCCTCCAGCTGTGGTGGTGCCCACAACTCTGCTCCATCCCCCCACTGCTGTGGCAATGCCTGTGACCCAGGCGACCCTGGATGAGGCAAAGTCACCTGCCATCCCAGTGCCCCTGGTAGTGATGCTAGCAACAGCAGCAGCAGCAAGGCATCAGCAACCCCAGAGGCACAAGCAGCTATGACAAGGGCACCGATTACACCTTTGGCAGAGGCAGTGGAAGGTGGAAAGTACTGATTCCCAAATATAACCAGAGCAGCTTAGAGAAGAGAAACCAAAAACATGTGCTACAACGCCACCTACTGAAAAACAAAAGAAAGGCCTAATGACCAACCTGTTAAATTGTTAAAAGTAACACAGCTTTACCTAAATAAGAAAGGTGTTCACTACTTCAGATGTGCTGGTAGAGGACCAATTCATCAAGCACCATAAAAAAAAATAGTAACACAGTATCACAAAAGGAAGATAACTCAACAGAAACAAAACTTAAAGTCACAGAAGATTGTATCTATCTACTAGAAAATTCAAAATAGCTGTCATGAAGAAATTCAACCAGCTACAAGAAAATGCAGAAAGACAGCTCAGTGAATTTAGGAATAAAGTTAAGGAACAGAAGAAATATTTACCAAAGAGACTGAAACTAAAAAAATAACCATTAGGAATTCTGGAGCTGAAGAACTCAATAAATAAGATAAAGAATGCATTAGAAAGCACTGGAAATGGAGAAGACCACAGGGAAGGTCAAAGAGAAATCTAGAAAAAATTCACATAGAAGAGGAGATAGAACTGAGTTTTTTTAAATGGAGAAACTATGAGAGCTGGCTAACTACATTAGGAAAGGCAACATAAGGATAATGGGTATCCCAGAAGGAGAAGGGAGGAAGAGGGGAGTAGAGTTTATTTAGAGAAATAATAGCTGAGAACCTCCCAAACCTGAGGAAGGAACTGGATATATAAGTTCATGAAGCTAATACAACATCTAATTATATCAACACAAAAAAGACTCTCTCTAAGACATATAAGATTAAAACTGTCAAAAGTCAGTGACAAAGAATTTTAAAGGCAGCCAGTGGGGAAAAAAAAGACAGTAACCTACAAAGGTATCCCCATTTGGCTGTCAGCATATTTCTCTGCAAAAACTCTACAGGCCAGGAGGGAGCAAAATGACATACTCAAAATAAAGATAAAAACCATCAGCCAAGAATACTCTTTCCAGAGTAGTTATCATTCAGGTATGAGGGAGAAATAAAAGCTTTCCTAGACAAACAGAAGCTGAGGGAATTAATCATCATTAGACCTTTTTATGAGAAATGTTGAAAGGAGCTCTTCTATCTGAAACAAAAAGGCAAAAGTACACAAAACTCTAAGTAAGGTGGTAAATAGCCAGACAGAATCAGAAAATTACAACTCTGTATCAGAATACATTGTTAAACATTTAATTACAGCGTAAAAGTTAAAGGGAAAAAAGAATTAAAAATAAGTATAGCTACTTCAAATTTGGTAGTGAACTCACAACATAAAAAAAGCTAATTTGTGACAACAAGATCGTAACAGGTTAAAAGGACAGAACCTGTATAGGCAAATGAAGACAAGATTCTATCAGCAGAAAAAGGTCTATTTTATCTACGAGATGTTTTATACAAAACTCATGATAACCACAAAACAAAACTTTGGAGCAGAGACAAGAAACATGAAAAAGAGGAAACAGAAAAATGTCATAGAAAACCACGAAATCAATATGGCAGACAGAAACACAAGGAAAAAGAAACACTAGAGATAAAGAGGAACAAGAAAACAGAAGTTAAATGGCAGGACTAAGTCCTCACTTATCAATACTCACCCTAAATACAAATTGATTGAAGTCACCAAACAAAAGACACAGTGGCCAGATGGATTAAAAAATAAGACCCAACTATGTGCTGCCTCCAAGAGACTCATCTCAGTTCTAAAGAAAGACATAGGCTTAAAGTGAAGGGATGGAAGAATATACTCCAACCAAATGGCAGCCAAAATAAAGTGGTGTAACCAATACTCATATCAGCCAAAATTGACTTCAAGAAAAAAGGTAACAAGAGACAAATATGGACATTATATAATGACAAAGGGGATAATCCATCAAGAAGACATAACATTTATTAATATATAATATATGCACCTAATATAGAAGTACCAAAATATATAAAGCAGTTATTAACAGACCT